GCAGGATCGCCGGCGAAATGGGGTCCACCCTGCCACAGTTCCTGCACATCGCCACTGTTCTTGGCTAATATGGGTACAACCGGCCTGCAACATCACCGCATGACTCCCGATGAGAGCTGCGGGTCTGCCCGCCCGCATGTCAAGCGACGGCGCCAGAGATACCAGAGATTGCAATCTGCACCTGCTTGCTTTGCCATTCGAAGGGCCCCCACCTGCACGCGAGCCCAGCTGACTGTGACGTCAGCGCCTGACCGGCCGCTTCGCCGGCCGGCGGAAGAAAAGCTTCAGAGCCCCTCCACGAACCCCACAGCGGTCCACACGTCCACACGAAACCGGCAGGCCGCTTCAGAAGTCGCCCCTTCTACCTTCCCGATAACGACCAACTTACTGCGTTTTTAAAACCCCAGCTCCGTCGCCAGTAAAACTTCACACATGGAAACAAGCCGACCAATAATCAAAATCGCATTTTAGAGGGCTCCTCCCGCGAGTTACATTCACCCTGACGTGCCGCCGCACCAGTGTGAAGTCTGGGCAGTTTTCAGGACTGTGTCGCACGTATAGATTTATTCACGGACACTCGTCCAGGTTACCTCTGACAAAGGTTAATCCAGAACTGGCCCACGAAAACTCGCTTATCTGAGGTACACTCATTAAATAAACAACAACAACAACCCCTCGCACAGTCTCGACCAAGCAACAACAGAAAACCGCTTACCTTTGTTGTCCGAGCATCAATTAATGGGTATTTAAAAACTCTTTTTTTAATAATTTAAAAATAAATAAGACAGGACACATGACAACACGCAGACACCCGCAATGACATGTTAACTCGTAGAACCCTCCCCCCTCGCTCTTCTCATTGGCCGCCGGCTCTTTAATCGATTCACTGGGTGGCTCGTGAAGGTGTCAATCACGCATAGAGTAAGAGTAACACGGGACAGAGAAACTCCACACATTGGGGAGGTCTGCTGCCTCCCAGCGGCCGGAGGAAGAACTTCACAGTTATGAAAAAGCATTGCTCGTGTCCCAGTATGTGACAACACGTACATCAGCAGTGTGAGGGGACGTTACGGGGTAAAAAAAAGATCAACAAGTGAAGAAACAAAGAGACAGATTAAAAACGCGGAAAAGAAGAAAAAATCAACAGCAATTAAACAGGGAAGATAAAAACTGATCGAACTAAAGCCCGAAAAAACAAGTTTGTAGGAGTTACCCGGAGCGAGCTCCAGAGCTTTAGAGCAAGACGCCTATACCTGCACGTCGATATTTAACTATTTGGTTATTTTTTTAATCTATCACGTAAATCTAATAGAAGAAATTCCCATTTACAATGAAGACCTAGAAAACGGAATGTAATATCCAGTATATTAAAATACAGTATATACAAATCGTAAAATGGTTACAACTGAGACAAACTCTTGAAACAGTACAGCTGTACACAAGAATATACTAATCCCAATGTAAGTAGTATTAACATGAAAAATCTTAACATGCCGCAAAATCCTGTACGTACAGAATACACGTATAACATATATAAGTAAGAAAACCCGTACCATGTCTCTCGGTATATCTTTAAATTGTTTTCAACTCTCCCAACCCGGGCTTACAGACTTGCAGTTATTTAATCAATACATATTCGGTAATTAATTGAGTAAATTCTACTGCACCAGAGAAAACCGCAGGGTCAGAGTTTAGCTAGTGTGTGCTTAGTTTAACTTAGCTTAGTTACTCAGATTCAAATAATGCTTGTCAAATGCATGTGCTGTCATTTATAATATTCCTCCCAATCGAAACAATAAATACACCGAAAATGACGAACAATTTCTAATGCAGTGCGGCGGGGTTCTTGAACAAACGCGACGTTTTTACACGTTCTCACATGTTCTCACTGTGAGATTATTTTTAATATCTTATTTTTAGTCGAAGACAACAAACGCTTGTTTTGAGTTTACTTAATTTTCAATCCAGGTAGCGCCTTTTCATTCTCCTGCTCCACCGGAAGCGCTCGATGGATTAATTTGGTCCCCCTGGATCAGGAGTATCCTGGCGCACTGACTCTCACCCCGGGAGTGTCTGCCGGGTCTGGGCTCGTGACGGGTGGGAATCGCGGGTGTACGCGACTGGTTCATTCCCAGTGTAGTCTCAACTGCGGGATCGTGGGCCGCTAGCCCGCCACCTGCTGGCCGCCTGTCTGCGCGCTGGCGGGATTGTGGTGGAAAAGCGAACTAAACGGGCGCGCCGGTCGACCGGAGCTGCTGTCCGGCACCGTTGCGTCTCACCTGGACGAAAGATGGCGAAGATCTTCGTATTGCCGAGCCGCCTCATGTCTCATATATCTTATACCTCCAGCTCCCGCCGCTGCCCGGGGTCACAGGGGCTGCCTGCAAGCCATTTCGTCCGACAATGACATGTACACAGGTCTCGGCGGAGTTTATTGTGCTATTGATTGCTTTTAAGGTGTTTTGTAAACGCAAATAGCGGGTTATTGTCCGTAAATTTCGTTTGTCTCACCGGTGCTTTCGGGTTTTCGCCTTCACCCCCTTCCAGAGGAACAGCCCGGCACCGAAACGACAAGAGGGAGTCTGAGCTCTCTGAGGGCTATAACTCGGGGGTGGGGGGTGAACAGGGGTAAAGTCCCGCCTCCAGCAGGCAGGTGAGCTGTTGGCACCGTGCAGCCTCGCCGTCTGGTCATGGCGCAACAGCTGAGCTCCATTCACAAAAAGGGAAGACCAGGAGATGTCGTATATAGGGCCCTTATTTGGAAAAA